TCTCTCTCTCTCTCGAGTCTACACGTGTCTCTCCCTCTCGAGTGTCTTTGTGTGTGTCTTTCTCTCTCTCCCTTGAGTGCCTGTGTTTTTCTCTCTCTCTCTCTCTCTCTCTCTCTCTCTCTCTCGTGTCCGTTCGTGTCTCTCTCTCTTGAATGTCCGTGCATGTGTCTCTGTCTCTCTCTTGAGTGTCCGTGTGTGTCATTCTCTCTCTCATGTTTCTCTGTGTCTTTCACTCCTGTGTCCGTGTGTCTCTGTCTTTTGTATGTCTCTCTCTCTCTCTCGCACTCTCTGGCAAATGTCTGTGTCTCTCTCTCTCTGCGATGAGTGTGTCTCCCTCTCCCTCCTTCCCTCTCTCTGTCTCCCTCCCTCCTTCCCTCCTTCCCTCTCTCTCCCTCCCTCTCTCTCCTTCCCTCTCTCTCCTTCCTTCCCTCTCTCCCTGTCGAGTGTCAGTGTGTGCCTCTCTCTCTCTCTCTCTCTCTGTCTCTCGAGTGTCTGTATGTCTCTCTCTAGCGAGCGTCTCTGTGTCACTCTCTCTGGCGAGTGCCTCTGTCACTTTCTCTCTCTCTGGCGAGCGTCTCTGTCTCTCTCTCCCTCTCTCGTGTCTGTGTGTGTCTCTCTCTCGAGTGTCTGTGTGTGCATCTCTCTCTCTCTCGAGTGTCTGTGTGTGCGTCTCTCTCTCTCTCGAGTGTCTGTGTGTGCGTCTCTCTTTCTCTCTCTTTCGAGCGTCTGTGTCTCTCTCTCTTTCTCTTTCTCTCTCTCTCTCTCGAGTGTCTTTTGCGTCTCTCTTTTATTCACTCTCGTGTGTCTGTGTGGCTGTCTTTCTCTCGAGTGCCTGTGTGTGTCTGTCTCTCTCTCTCTCTCTCGCGTGTCTTTGTGTGTCCCTGTCTCTCTCTCTCTCGAGTGTGTGTGTGTCTCTCTCGAGTGTCTTTGTGTGTGTGTCTGTCTCTCTCTCTTTCTCTCTCTCTCTCTCGAGTGTCTGTGTGTGTCTCTCCCTCTCGTGTCCTTTCGTGTCTCTCTCTCTCTCTTGAATGTCCGTGCATGTCTCTCTGTCTCTCTCTCGAGTGTCCGTGTGTGTCATTCTCTGTCTCTCGTGTTTCTTTGTGTCTCACACTCCTGTGTCCGTGTGTGTCTGTCTTTCGTATGTCTGTCTCTCTCTCTCTTACTGTCTGGCAAGTGTCTGTGTCTCTCTCTCTCTCTCTCTGTCTCTCTCTCTCTCTGTCTCTCTCTCTCTCTCTCTCTCCATCCTCCCTCCTTCCCCCTCTCTCTCCCTCCTTCCCCCTCTCTCTCCCTCCTTCCCTCCCTCCCTGTCAAGTGTCTGTGTCTCTCTCTCTGAGTCTCTGAGTCTCAGTCTGTGTCTGTCTCTCTCCGGCAAGTGTCTCTGTCACTCTCTCTCTCTCGAGTGTCTGTGTGTGTGTCTCTCTCTCCCTCTCTCTGTCTGCGTCTCTGGCAAGTGTCTTTGTCTCTCTCTCTCTGGCAAGTGTCTTTGTCTCTCTCTGTCTCTCGAGTGTCTGCGTGTGTGTCTCTCTCTTGAGTGTCTGTGTGTGTGTGTCTCTCTCTCGAGTCCATCTCTCTCTCCGTCTCTGTCTCCCCCACCCCGTCTCTGTCTTGCCCCCTCCCTCGTCTTCATCTCCCCCCCCCCTCTCTGCCCCCCCCCGTATCTGTCTACCCCACCCCACCCCCCGTCTGTGTCTCCGTCTCCCCATCTCACCTTCCATCTCCGTCTCCCCATCTCTCTCCCTGTCTCCCCGTCCCCGTCTCCCCATCCCCGTCTCCGTCTCCCCGTCTCTGTCCCTCCACCTATGTTCTCTATTATGCCAGACTCCATGATTCCTCAAAGGATGCCGTGCTACCATTGTGCTCACATTTGCTGTTCTAACTCTAGAGAGAGGTGGTGCTGTGCATATACCATGTCTGACTGCAAATCTCGTCTCAGATGTGTGGAGGGTGTCGTCATGTCCTCTGAGAATTTTATTCTCTCCAGTCGTTTTTTTTGGAATTGGGGTTTTTAAAAAAGAAACAGAACGAAGTGTATTTTGTTTTCGCACATTCAACTTTTAAAAACAAAACCTCCAGTGGAATTAATGTGAACTTGTTTTAAAAATGCACAAAACGAAATTGGGATGAATGTATAATCACAATTCTACCTTTTGTATTTTTATAGAGGTTTTTTACTGCTCCTGAGTGTTGGAGATTATTTATTTTGTGAGATATTTTATTGGGGAATCAGTGTTTTGTAGACGATTTGTTTACATGGCTGTTTTATGCAATGTTTGAGGTGGAACTACTGAAACAGGGTCCCTCTGATGCTCTTGAATCCAAATACTTGAATCTTCTTGTGTTTTTTTTTAAAAAGCTGTTTGGAGAGAAGTGAAAGATTTCATTTCAATATGATAGCTGGCCAGCCTCACTCAAACTAATTGTCAAAGTATGATATCCCAATGAAGGAACTGACCTTGTTTCTGCATTGTGTTGCTGACACGTGATTGATCTCCTGTGCGTAGCCACTAGATAGGGGATTGATCTGTTTTGAAGGGACTATCGAGAGTAATTGGGGATGGAATGATGCTGACAAGCCAAGCCAAGCCAAGCGTGATCCATAAGTAGCAGATCACATCTAATCTCTGACATCAACTCTGTCCCCACCTGAGCCCACTGCAAACACTACTTTCAGTGCACAGAAGGAGTTTCCTCCTATTCCCCCACTTCCATTCCCACCCACCCAACTGTTCCTTCCTCCAGTCTGGTCCCTCCCTCGCCCCTGAGGCCCATGTGCTAAATCGCAGGTGTTGATTCCATTAGTAATTGAAGATTGTGCATCCGGAAGCATTATCAGCACACATCCCCAGTTGCACTGTGAGAGAGGAAGTACTGTGTTGCCCAACAGCATGCTTCCTCTTACTCCAAATTCTGAGTACCAAATGCAGCATGACTCACTAAGATTGTGTCAGAGAGTCAGTGCTGAGGAAGCGCCGCACTGTTGCAGCTGCTATCTTTCAAATAACATGTTACACTGAGACATCTTTTGACCCCTCTGGTAGAAGTGAAGTCATTTATGATTGTAATGGCTGAACAGCAGAGAGTTCTCTTTGAGTCTTGGCTAAAAATTGTCCCCAATCCGATATTGCAAAATTATTTTACACCTTGCTGTTTTTGAGCACTACAAGCATGAGTTGCCATTCTGTGTTTCATATGTTCATTTGTAAGTCACACTTCAAAAAGCCCTGAAGAGTTTGGAATGTCCCAAGTTGGGAAGAGGTTTCCTGGTCTGGTGTCCTGTCAGGTGAGCAGCTGTGTTCCCAGGGATTGCAGCATCCATATTGTTTCAATGGCTCTCAGTCTGGTGATTCTATTTTGTATCTAGGCATTCTCCATCTGCTGTTGTGGCTTGAACAGTATCATTTTTGAAAATGACTTTAGCTATACCAGTCTTTTGATTTATAGTCATGTGGGGTATTGGTGCTGGTCTTCCCTGCGCTCTCTGCCCCTCATGTCTGTCTGTTTCCTTCCTAGCATTCTCCCCTTTGACGAGGAACATTCTCACTTGGCAATGGGTGCAGATTGTAAATCATAGGACACAGGGTGTGGGCCCTGCCCCTTCCTCATCTCCCAATCCCTGACTCCTCAGTTGCTGAGGACTGTCTGGTGTCATCCATGTACGTGTGTGAGTTACGTCTGTTCTCGTGTTCAGCATGTGCTATTTCCCCGTCCCATCGTTCAAATTATGCGTTGACCCCATGCACTGTATCATTGTGTTTTGTTTTTAATTTTAGTTTTATTTTATTTCTTCCTTTTTTATGGCTTTGTGTAACTTGGTCCTTCTCCCTTTCTGGTTTTGTTTTCTTTTCTAGATATCTTCGTGCCCGTTTGTTCATCGTTTGCCTAGCATGTTGCTGTGACGTCCAAGTTCATCATCCCCTCGTTGTTTCTGAGCTTCTCTGATGCTTGACCTCTGCTGACCTTTGACCTTGTTTAGACTATTAAATTTGATGTATTTCAGAAACCTTTCATTCACCTCTACTCCCATGCACTCCCTCACCCCCACCTTCCCAACCTCACTCAGTGCTGCTGGGGCAGGCTGCTTTAAACAAGCTTCCAGATTGTTACATTGAAATCTTCTAAAACTTCTTTGAGAGTCTATTTTTCTAGAATTTCTTAACTAAATTGCAGCATTTTGACACTTCTTTCTACTCCTTATTGCAAAGCGCCCTTTCTAGCACGGGCAGAGGGCTTTATATCTCAAGCAGCCAATCGATTTGAAAAAAAGCAGAAAATCATTCGTGTGCATCTTATTGGTTTTTTTTAGTGTGGTGTGTGTTTAGGACAGTGTGGAGTGTTTGTCACAACTTACTCGAAGGGAAATGAACCTCAGATGCGTTCTTCTCCATATATTGGCAGGGTTGAGCTTTCTCTTTCTCCACTTCAGCATCTTATTTCCCTTTTCACAATCTTTACCCTCTGCAATTGATCACTCTTACCATTTTCTCTCCTCTCGCTCCTTTGCCACTTGCCTCTTGTCTTGACCCTTCTTTCTCCTCTCTCTATCTCCTCCTTTCTGTCTCCCTGTCCCCTCTCGCTACCCTCTCTCTCTGTCCCCCACTCTGTCTCTCCTTTCTCTGCTTCTCGCTTTGCCTTCCTCTTTCTCTGTCCCTCCTTGCCTCCCTTGTTCTCTCTCTCTTTCCCCTCACCTCCCTTGTTTTCTCTCTATCCACACCCCCACTACCACCTTTCCCTGTTCATTATGCTGGAGTGACATCAGTAAAGAAATACTTGAATTGCTTCTTTCAAAGTGTCGGCCATTTCCCATAGGGTTTCTTTTGGCACTTTGGTTTTCTGTTGTTAGCAGTAAGTGTTTGAAAAGCAAAAAAAAGAAAAGTCAATAGTTTAATGTTGTCGAGTTTGGTGTGACTATACCTTGCATGTGTATTGTATCTATGCTGAAAACTTCAGCAAAATGTGATGTGACTTGTTGTTAACTCTATTTAGTGCCAAGTGTTATTTGCATGTTACAGCCTTTTCCACTTTGTACTGCTTCTCTGTCTTCCTGACTTCAAATTTACAGTTTGATAAAGTGCAAAAAAAAGTTGGAGGTTTAAATAAAGTATATTTTTGAACTCTGTTGTGGCAAATATCATAGTTAGACCAGATGTGTCCTGTTCAAAATCTCCCCTCTGTCTATCTAAACCCAGCATCTGTGATGTTCAATCTGTTCCCAACCCCTCCCTCTCCCTCTCCCCCAACCTCTCTCCCTCTCTCTCTCTCTCTATCTCGTGCGTATGCACACAGACACACAAACACAGAGTATGTGCATCAAGCTCCTGATTACGTTCACATATATAGAGAAATGTTTGATTTTACTGGAGATCATGCGTTGGGTCATTTCCAGTGGATGGTGGGATACATCTTTATTTGTAGCTAAATAAGAAGGAGAGCACCGAGGGTTGGTTATTTTGAGGAAGTGAGCCACGTTTGGGTTTGACAACCTGTTCAATTCCGTGAAGAGTTTGTGGAGATTGCTGCCGACTCTAATGGGACATTGGGTGGGGAGGAGTGTTGGTATTTGCATTTCCCAACTCTGAAGCCCACACCCCACTTCCCCAACTCAGTTCAGAACACCAAACACTCAATCGCCATTCACACTCAACTTCCAACCAGACCCTGAGACACTCAGACTCAACCCCCTCCACCTGAACCTCCAACGACCCTGGGCCTCAACATCCTCAATACAACCACCTCCAACTGAAAGTCCACCTCTACCCACTGCCTCTGCCCCTCCATCCTAAACTACTGCCTGAACTCAAACACACTCACCCTTAGTCCCAGGCCTCCCAATTTCATCCTTACCCAACTCTTTAACCTCACATTGCCACTTCTCAATCTCCAACATTGAAACCCCTTCCTTGCCTCTCACACAGCCACTCTGAGACCATGTCTGAGTTTTCCTGGGATTTCATTTCCCTGTGCTGTTATCACTTCTGATTCTGAACGGATCTCTCACTCACTCTGTTCAACCCAGCAGACATAGAGCTACAATGAAACAGCCAGGCTTTTCAAGACCCTTCTGCTCACAGCAGTGTCTCTAACAGAGCATCCCCGTGGGCCACATTGTTTAAATATATGCCTCCTCAGTCTCAGCCCTGCTTTTTCAAAACCCCCAAAGTCTCCTTAAAGCCCTGTCCTCAAGACACACCTCCAGGTGTCCACGCGCTGTGGGGCTCTTCTAGGCTGTTCCAGGGGATATTGATGCACTGATCTGAACTCTTGACACTGTGTACATGTTGCACCATTTCTTAATCTAGCAAAACGATAATTTATGAAACTGAGCAACAGTTAATTACAGTTTTCAGATAAAACAACTTTCTTTGAAAAGCAAATCTCCCAGCTGCTAATTTTGCAAACTAGTTCTTAACAGGAACCTCTGGTGGTTTGCCAGCTGCAGTATTTGGCCATATTTGAGCCTAGTTTAGTTGACTTATTTGTGAACCCTCCTCCCAGCACCAAGCTGGACCTGGCACACTCATCCTCCCAGATTAAAGGGTGCCTACACCCTTGTTCCTATACTTTGTGTGGGGAGATGGCTTAGCATTATAGGAAATGGGAAAAAAAGTAGACCATTCGGCCCTTCAATTAAAAATGCTCAGTAGCCAGTGCTTCATTTCCACCAACCCCACTAAACAGACTGGCACCCTCACAAGACCTCAAGTGAATGTTAATAATGTTCATGCTCCAGGTGTGTCTACGAAGTACATTCACTGTGGCTCCTGCACTCTGTTCCCATTAAACACTTAAGTAGAATTCCCTCCCCCCGTCCAGAATCCACCAGGGGAACCCATGTTTCCTACCATCGATCCACAGCAGGGTGGAGGCTGGTTTTCATACACTATCCCATTGTCACCTCACAGACACTCCTTGTATGTGTTCCCTCTCCAGCATCATTGCCAATCTTGCAACATCACCATGGGCACTTGGTCGCCTGAACTGTCCCGCCATATCCATATCCTGTGGAACGTAACAGATGTGTAATTACCATCTTCTTGTCTTTTGATAATGTAAAGATTACAAATAAACACAATACTTGAGTGACTGATTTTCAAAACTCTTGCTGCTTTGTGAGTTAACAAACAATTCAAAATCCTGTGGGCTTTTTATTGGTACAAACTGATTGTATTTAACTCTATAGGTTTTGTAAAATTTTGCCTTTTGTACAAGAACTATTAAACAATTAACAAATGTGAATGTTACTTATTTCTAGAAGTTTGCCGCAATGACCAAACCCCTGTAACTAAAGTAAAATGCAATTTTGCTCACTTATTACCAAGGAAAAGCTTTTTTTTGCAAAGTGTCATTATCTAGTGTGATTTTTTTTGTGATGTAATCTTGAAACAAATTATGGAATTAATAATGAAAGAAACCATAAAACCACTTGTAAGTTGTTTTGGAGCCAACAGTTGATGTAGAGGAATGGCAAATTGTTGCTAGTTTGAATAAAGCTGGTATTTGTTTCAGATTTTTCCTACTATTTTTGTCTTGAAAGGGTACTAAAATGTTTTAACTGCACGCATAGATTTGCAGTCATTTTGTATGAAAGTGTGGTACCTTCCTTGTTTAGTATTTACGATTAAACAGTTTGAGAAGATTCTGTCATCTGCTGTTTCTTTTCTGATGTGTGCATGTGCTCATGAACTACGTATGGTCTGGTGTTACGACTTTAGCAGAAGAAGTGTACTGCAATTAAGGTCTATAAAACCCATCTCTGACTTCCCAAAAAGCTTTGTTTGTCAAAGTCATTTGACTTGGTGAATGGCCCACAACGCACATTAAACTGACCTTGTTTTCCAAGAAACCAAATGGTAAAATCGCTTTCAGTCCAGAAGGTACTCCCAACATTTCCACATCTTCCACTTTTCTCTCAAATCTTGGAATGTCAATTTTTATTCTCAATGCTGGGCATTGAGATTTGCACCAGTCTGTTTGATTTTTATGTTCTCTCTCAGGATGTGAATGTCATGAGCGTTTATCAGTCTCCTGTTGTGAATGTGTTAGTTCTGCTCCTGCTGGTGGCTGTGCTGCTGTAATCTAACCTACCTAGTCCTGTTAGAAGTTAATAGGTTTCTATGAGCTCTGCCCTCATTCTCCTAAACTCCAGTAAATTCAATTCGAATTGACTCAATCTCTCTTCCTATGTCAATATTGATTCCCAGGAATCAATTTGGTAAATCTTTCCTGCATCACTCAGTAGGAAGAATGTCCCTCTCCAGATAAGGGAACCGAAACTGCCGAAACTTGTCTAATTGCAGCAAGACATCCCTCTTCCTGTACTCAAATTCTGTCACCGTGAAGGTCAACATACGGTTTGCCTTTTTTACTGCCTGCTACACCTGCATGCTTGCGTTCAGCAATTGTGCACAAGGACATCAAGGCCTCATTGAATACTCCCCTGAATTTAAAGCCATTTAAATAATAATCTGCCTTCCTATTTTTGCTACCAAAGTGGATGACATCACATTTATGCACATTATACAGCATCCGCTATGTATTTGCCCACTCGCTCAGCCTGTCCAAATCACACTGCAGTATCTCGACAAGCTCCTCACAGTTCATCTTTCCACCCAGTTTTGAATCAAATGCAAATTTTGAGATTACATATAGTTGCCTCATCTAAATCATTAACGTGTAGCTGGGGCTCTAGTACTGATCCTGTGTGCTCCACTAGTCACTGCCTGCCAGGCAAGAAAAAAGTCCTATTTATTCCAATTCTGCTTCATGTCTGCTAACCAATTTTCTATCCATCTCAATATGCTACCCCCAATCCTATGCATATTAGTTTTAAACATTAATCTCTTAATAGGACTATGAAGAGGTGACAGCCTGGTGGTATTATTTCTGGACTGTTAATGGAGAGACCCAAGTAATGTTTTGGAGATCCAAGTTCAAATCCCACCACAGCAGATAATGGAGTTGGTCAGAAAAACCTGGTTCACTAATACCTTTTAGGGAAGGAAACTGCTATCCTTACTATCCTTACCGCTTATCCTTGAAGTCCAACGTGGACTTCACAAGCTTCAAAATCTCCCCTCCCCCTACCGCATCCCAAAACCAGCCCAGCTTGTCCCCACCTCCCTAACCTGTCCTTCCTCCCACCTATCCCCTCCTCCCACCTCAAGCCCCACCCCCATCTCCTACCTACTAACCTCATCCCGCCCCCTTGACCTGTCCGTCCTCCCTGGACTGACCTATCCCCTCCCTAACTCCACACCTACACTCACTTTTACTGGCTCCATCCCTGCCTCTTTGACCTGTCTGTCTCCTCTCCACCTATCTTCTCCTCTATCCATCTTCTATCCGCCTCCCCCTCTCTCCCTATTTATTTCAGAATCCCGTTCCCCTCCCCCATTTCTGAAGAAGGGTCTAGGCCCGAAACGTCAGCCTTCCTGCTCCTCTGATGCTGCTTGGCCTGCTGTGTTCATCCAGCTCTACACCTTGTTATCTCTGCTATCCTTACCTAGTCTGGCCTACATGTGACTCCAGACTCTCAGCAATGTGGCTGACTCTTAACTACCCTCCAGGCAATTAGAGATGGGCAATAAATACTAACCTACGCAGTGATACCCTCGACCCTTGAATGAATAAAAAAAAGTCGAAAGCTTTTTGAAAGTCCAGATAAACTGCATCTACTGATTCCCTTTGATCAACTCTACAAGTTACATCCTTAATAAAACGTCAGTGGATTTGTCAAGCATAATTTCCCTTTAGTGAATCCACGCTGAGTGATTCTACCACTGTTTTCTAAGTGCTCTGCTATAAAATCCTTAATAGTGGATCCCAGCATCTTGCCCACCACTAACGTCAGACTCGCTGGTCTGTAATTCCTTGTTTTTTTTCTAACTCCCTTTTTAAACATTGGGGTTATGTTAGTTACCCTCCAATCTGTAGGCTGTTCCAGAGTGCAAAGAATATTGGAAGGTGACCACCAGTGCATCCACTTTCTAGGGCCACTTTCTTAAGGGAATGAGATGTATTTTCTTACTTCCTTACTCTGGGATGTACATTATCAGTTCCTGCAGATTTATCAGCCTTCAATGAGGGTTTTGAGGCTGTTTTCGTTAGAGAGAAGACGGTTAAGAGGTGACTTGATAGAGACATACAAGATGATCAGAGGATTAGATAGGGTGGACAGTGGGAGCCTTTTTCCTCGGATGGTGATGGCTAGCACGAGGGGACATAGCTTTAAATTGAGGGGTGATAGATATAGGACAGATGTCAGAGGTAGGTTCTTTACTCAGAGAGTAGTAAGGGCGTGGAATGCCCTGCCTGCAAAAATAGTAGACTCGCCCACTTTAAGGGCATTTAAATGGTCATTGGATAAACATATGGATGATAATGGAATAGTTTAGGTTAGATGGGCTTCAGATTGGTTTCACAGGTCGGCGCAACATCGAGGGCCGAAGGGCCTGTACTGCGCTGTAATGTTCTATGTTCTATCAAATTCTCCAACGCTATCTTTCAATGAGTACAGATTTCCTTCAGTTCCTCCCTCTCACTAAAGCCTATGTTCCCCATCATTTCTGGTACGTTATTCGTGCACTCCTTTGTGAAGACGAAGCAGAGTCGGCATTTAGTTGTCAGCCATTTCTTTGTTCCCCCATTTCTTACTGTAAGGGACCTACACTAGTTTTAACCAATCTTTTTCTCTTCATGTGCTTATATAAGGTTTTACAGTCAGTTCTTACGTTCCCTGCAAGCTTATTCTTATAGTGCTTTTTCCCTTCTTGGAGTCATAGTCATACAGCATGGAAACAGATCCTTCGTTCCAACACTTCCTTTTCGACCAAGTTCCCAAACTAAACTAGCCCCAGTTGCCTGCTTTTGACCCATATCCCTCTAAACCTTTCCAGTTTGTGTATCTGTCCCCACCAATTCATCTGGCAGTTCATTCCACATCTAACCTATCCTTTGTGTGAAAAAGGTTGTCATAATGGGTGACTTTACCTTCCCCGGTATTGACTGGGACTGCCTTAGACGGGGCGCAATTTGTTAACTGCATCCAAGAGGGTTTCTTGAAATTGTAAGTAAAGGCACAACATTAGCCACCTTCCAGTCTTCCAGCACCTCACCTGTGACTGTCAACGCAAATATCTCTGCTAGGGACCCCACAATGGCCTCAGATACACTTAACTAATTCTGGAGATTTATCTACCTTTATGCTTTTTAGACCTCCAGCACCTCCTCTTCTGTAATGTGAACTGTTTTCAAGACATTGATATTTATTTAGCTTCCATGTCTTTCTCCACATCCAAATCAGAAGCAAAATATTCACTTAGTATCTCTCTCTTCTGTGGTTCCACACAGATTCTTAATCAATCCCTTGGTCCTTCTTTGCTGACTTTTAAACTGTTCCCAATCCTCAGGCTTATTGTTTTTACTTACCAATTCGTATGTCTCATTTTTGTACCTAATACTGTCTGCAACTTCCCTCATGAGCCATGGTTTAGCCACTATTCTCTTTGTACTCTTGGCTTTCATTGGCAGGGAAATTGAGTTTAAGAGCCATGAGGTTATGCTGCAGCTCTATAAAACTCTGGTTAGATCACACTTGGAATATTGTGTTCAGTTCTGGTCACCTCATTATAGGAAAGATGTGGAAGCTTTAGAGAGGGTGCAGAGGAAATTTACCAGGATGCTGCCTGGACTGGAGGGCAGGTCTTATGAGGAAAGGTTGAGGGAGCTAGGGCTTTTTTCATCGGAGCAAAGAAGGATGAGAGGTGACTTGATAGAGGTTTACAAGATGATGAGAGGCATAGATAGAGTGGATAGTCAGAGACTTTTTCCCAGGGTGGAAATGACTATTACGAGGGGGCATAATTTTAAGGTGATTGAAGGAAGGTAGAGGGGAGATGTCAGAAGTAGGTTCTTCACACAGAGAGTGGTGGGCGTGTGGAATGTGCTGCCGGCAGTGGTAGTGGAGTCAGATACTTTAGAAACTTCTAAGCGACTCTTGAATAGGCACATGGAGGATAATAAAATGTAGGGAATGCGGGGTAGATTTATCTTAGTAGGATAATAGGTCAGCACAACATTGTGGGCCGAAGGGCCTGTACGGTGCTGTGCTGTTCTATGTTCTATGTTTAGTCAGGAATAAACTATTTTTATATGCTCTTTGGCATTGCATGTTATTTTTCAGTAACATGCTTCAGTAACAATCTATCATAGCCAATTCACACCTCATTCCATCGTAGTTTCCCTTATTAAGCTTCAAGTGTTAGTCTGAGAATCAACAACTTTACACTCCATCTTGATGGAGAGTTCTGTTATATCCTCATCTGTCCAGCCCAGTTTTGTGCCATCAGGAATCTGGGAAATATTGCATTTGAGTCTCTCATCCAGATCCTGAGGGACAGGATTTACATGGATTTGGAAAGGCAAGGACTGATTAGGGATAGTCAACATGGCTTTGTGCATGGGACATCATGTCTCACTAACTTGACTGAGTTTTTTGAAGAGATGACAAAGAAGAATGGTAGATGTTGTTATATGGACTTCAGCGATGTGTTCAACAAGGTTCCCCACGGTAGACTGGTTAGTAAGGTTAGATCACATGGGATCAGGGGAGCAACCTATTGCATACAACTTTGGCTG